CAATCCGACCTACTTCGTCTCGGGCTCGTACTCGCACTGCTTCGCGAACAACCAGAGGGTGAGCGAAATTGGGGGTGTTGCTGAAATAGGGTTACTGCATTGGTTTGAGGTTTGCGACGTGGAGTGGTCACGGACAGTCTGACGCCGGCGGGAGGGGCGACGGGACTTGGTCTCGGGTTCGTGCTAGTATTGTTTCGTGAACAATCAGAAGGTGAGTGAGAGGAGAGGGGCTACTGAAAGACTCATGCTAGTACTGATTCCGAAGCGAAGTGCTGGTTGCTGACCAAGGCCGTTGACGTAATATGTGGAGAAGAGAGAGAACGGAGAAAGGGGGAAGTGGCAGCCTAACGTACGAAGAAGAGGCTAGCCGTGGTCCTAAGGTAAAATGGGGTGAGTGCATTGGTGTAGATGTTTCAGCCGATGTTTTTATTCTCTCGCTATGGTCTTTCTGCTACCCATGGTCTTTCAGAGCTCGCCTTTTCCTTACAGATTTCTGCTCGTTCCCCTCCCCTCTTTCCTGAACCTGCAGCTAGCCGTGAAGGGGCTACCGCCGCCCTCGTCATAAAGGTCTGAACAAGTCCTAACACATTCTAGTGGATGGCGCTACTACCAGACTACCACTACCAATAGCACTACCACCACCAGATATACCCCAAAAAATCCTGGATGCAGGTATTCACAGAGCTGCTGATTCCCCGGATCTGTCTAGGTGCAAGGCAAATATTACAGCTCCTTGCATGCTCTTCGGCCTGCTGCCCATTTATGCTTAAAGATATGCTTCCTTGGATGCTCTAGGAGGCTAGATACCATATGGTACTATAACTAGGGGGGACTGGTGTGACTCCGTGAGGAGTGTGAGGTTGTAAACAACTATCCTAAACAGAATTTAGTGTCATTGTTTCTCTTGTGAAAAGTTACGGGTTTCATGTTACGGAGCTGAGCAGTTAAAATGCAGTCAGTGTTTGGCAGTAAATAGATAGTACCCGGAAACTAAAAGAGTGCAGCAATTTTATCCATATGAAATGGTCAACTCATCATGTTATGCAGTGTTTGACGATTACTGCCTAGTTACAAGATAATCTCAAGCATGTTACGACCATATCCTGGTTACATTCTACTCAAAATGTTACCCTGCCATCTGCAGAGCAATGGCCATAAAGCCACCAACCCACCCGACCATCACCCCATTTTTTCACCCAACCACTGTTATCAGCATGCTTTCACTCAACCCAACAGCTTTAACTAACATTACATTCAGGCGGTGATACCCAAGGCACGATTCCACCCAGCAATGACTAATTCTGGAGGAGCTGATGTCTTTTTGGAGCTCTCTCTGCTGTGGAGAGCCTGGGGGGTGGGTGGAAGAGAGGCATGGGGGGGGAATACGAGGAAAGGTCACAGAAGAAGAGAAATGGTTGGCATAGAAAAGCTGAGACAGTATAAGGTACAGGGAATTATGAATATCCCGGGAAAGGGGATATGGATCAGAGAGGCTCGTGAGGTGACAGATGGAAATGAGACATTCAAAAAGTGCATGGGTTGGTGGGAGGCTGAGTATGAAAACGTATGTGGGCATGAGCACTTGCTTGAACGCGCAACTGCGTTCGAACACACTCAGAAGCGGGCGTGCGATGCAAAGAGAAGCTTCCAAGCATGCATACAGCCCTCGACACACATGTGCAAGCAAACATGCCCGAATACCGGTACATGTATCTGCATACGTTCTTACATGATATTTGTGCATACGGTACCTTGATGTATGCGTGGACGTGTGTGAAGGTGTCAGGAATGTGCCAGTTCTTGTAGTGCGGTAGAGCAACAATCATGTGGTAAAGCTTCGGGGAGAGACCAATGTCCACTGCTGTCAGCCTCTCACCCGCCACAAATGGACCGCCCTGCTCACATGGTCATCATGGAAATGGGCATCGTAGAGAAGAATGGGAAGGAGCATGCGGTGATGGAACAGGGGGACATACAGGGTCGGTAAAGGAGGCAGGAGAGCAGGTGGGGAAGAGGGGAAAGATGGTGGCAGGAAATGATGGTGGGGAAGAGATGGGTGGCGAAGCTGAAAGAAGCAGCAATGTGTGCTCCGGTGTAACCATCTTCCACAGCCTTTGCTCCCTTTCTTGTGTGCTTTCTCACATGGCACCTTCATCAGCCGTTCTGCAACCAAAGCTTGAAGAAATGATGCATACCATGGCTCTAACTCGGCATGCACACGCCTTCCTTCCTGACTGTTGCTTCAACTTCCCTTGCTCTACAAGGTTTTTAAGTTGTTCCCTCTTCTACCCCGCCCCACAAGCAGCCCGTTACTACCTCCCCTTATCATTCCTCCCCATCCCATCCTTCCCTGTTTCTGCCCTGCCCGCCAAACCCATCCCCAATCTCCACCCTCAGCACTGACCGAGGCCTTGGGGGCATCCTCCAGCGCGAACAGCTCCCCCAGCAACGCCTGCAATGAGGCGCCTCAAAACTACCCTCCCCAATCTCCACCCCTCAGCACAGCACTGACCGAGGCCTTGAGGGCGGTCTCCAGCGCGGATAGCTCCCCCAGCAACGCCTGCTCCGTGCCGTCAGCACCGTCTGTGCTCTTGAGAAACTTCACAAACGCGCCAAAGATCCCCGCGCCACTGGCGGAGGGGAACATGGCGAGAGGGCGAGGTTGCGGGGTGGGATGGCGGAGGGGAGTAAGGGGTGGGTGGGAAGAGATGTCATGTCATGGCGATTGCTATGGCTTCACGAGGCGCGATTCGGCAGCTCTCGCTGCAACCCTCTTGTACAACTTGTGCCCTCTCCTCTCAAAGACTCCTCCCACGTCCCCTCGTGTTCAAAGCCCAGTGAGGCCGCCCAGTGTCACACGCAGCGGCACACTCACACGGCCTTCTTGTCGTCCGGCGTGGCAAGGGATGGCTGAGGGAAGTCGGATTCGAGCGCGGCCGTGATGGCGTCAGAGTCAGCCAGCCACCCGTCCGCCGTCTTGATCACCGGCACCTTGCCCTCGGGATTCACGTCCAGGAACCTACAACACACGCGCAGTGGGGCAGGGGGCAGGGGGCAGGGGGCAGGGGGCAGGGGGGAGGGGGAAGGGGGAAAGGGAAAGGCGGGAAGGTGGAATGTGGGTTGAGGGGAAGAGGTAGCGAGTAGAGGAAACGAAGAAGAAAGAAGAGGGGAGGTAGTCGGGGAAAGTGGGTAGGGAGAAGAGGGCAGGCAGCAGAAAGGTGAAGGTGGAATTCGGGATTCGGGTAATGAATGTGAAGAGCGAGTGGTGCAGGGAGATGTGGCAGGGCTTGGTTTGACATGCTGGTGGTCATCCTGAACGAGAGGAGCTTCACAAAGAAGCGGGGAGAAAAAATCCATGCATAGAGGAAGAGGGGTCTGAGAACCGTGGACGAAGCGCGGGAGACGATTAAAAAAAATGGGGGGTAAAAGAAGGACGTGAAAAGGTATAAGAGGGGGGACGAGGAAAACGCGGCGCACCATTGCGGCTTGTTGGCCGTGTCGACGAGGCGGTACGAGTAAGGCAGACCCTTCTCTTCCACGGTGATGAGCACGCGCTGGGAGAAAGGACCTGGCGCGGGGGGGGGAAGGAGCAGGTGGGGTTGGTTCAGGACATAGAAAGCGTCGCATCGTTGCAAAATCGCTTGACGCTAGGAGGTTAGACCAAGGCTGCGACTACAGACGTCTGGAACTATTCAAGACTCTTCATAAAAGGTTCGATAAACTGGTAGGCAGGAGATTGGCACTTGTGAGTTCAGGTAATTTGATTAGAAGGAATACAGGAGCAGGACAGCGGGAAAGGGAAGTCGAGCGAAAGCCGAATATGTACGAGCAAAAGCCATTTCTTACAGTCTCCGAGCTTATCGGGTGATCCCGTGGCCGCTTTCACCAAGACTTCAACAGGCTCGGTGATCTTCGGTGTCGCTGCCATCGCTGTCACCACCCGGGCACGCACCGCACGAGCTTTCCCAGATCCTGCAGGAGTCCGCGCGGGGAGCTTGGCGCCGAGGAACGCGGAAAAGGAGAGGCGGGAGGAGGAAGACACAGCGGAGGGGATACGCGGAAGGGAGGCGGTGGTGCTGAGAGTCGAAGCCGAAGGGGAGATGAGGCGTACAGTTGAAGAGATACGGAGGGTGGAAGAGGAAAAGACTTCCTGGACCGCAACAAAGAGAGATGCGGTGGCGAAGACCATTATTAAGCGAGTCTGCGAGGAAGATGGACGGTGGACGAGAAGCTAGCAGGCGTAGTGGAGAGAAGGAACCACACGCATGCAGAGCAGCTAGGGTAGAATATTGCTTCTAGAATGCTCCAGACAAATTGGAAATGCAGAATGCTCTGAGAGTAGAAACTGGGGATTGGGAAGGAAATGGAATGGGGAGCACGGTGGGATGGGGGGGTAGGATACGGTAATGTACGTTGCCAAGGGGTACAGTAGTACAGAACAGTTCTGGGTTGGAGCACACACTTGTGGGGCAGGGAGGAGGACACTTGGCTGCAAGAGAAACTGACAGAATTGAACACGAGAAACAAGTTCGGTTTGTTGCGTTTCAGAACGGTTTTTCGGGCTTAAGCGGAGCCGACGCATGCAGTAAATCGATGCGTCGGGTCTGGAAGATGGAATGCATTCATTTGGCCTTGTTTTGGTGCTGATGTGGAGGTCCATGAGAGGTTGATCTGTGTGCGTTGGTTAGGACGAATGCGGCTGAAAGATCTATTAGGAAATTCGAAACAAGCGTACTGCGTTTATTTTTCTGTCGCTACATTGCGATTTCATGTTTAATATTTGGTGTAGTCCGCAGTTCTGCCGATATCACACTGAAAACTTCAGTGCTGATTCTCGAGATTGTCGCACTTCGTGCTCCGTGCTTTGGTCATCACAAAACGGATTATTTCTCCAATATGTGCTGAATTCACCGCCATTCTGGTTGACGCCAGCCGGATGCTCTTCATCGATAGCTAATCTCGCAAGTTTTCTTCATTTTTTGGCGCTAGAATTCACGGACATGGGTGAGCCAGAGACTCGATGTGTAAGAGGCTGCTGCGTGAGCACAACATTGAAGCTGAACGTGCCTAAAGCAGAGATAAAGACAGGGCCGCTGATTGCCAAGGGTAAGAACGTAAACAGCTATTCAAGTACTAGTCTTTGAGGAGATTGAGATTGCTTGATCAGGCGCAATTAATGTGAAATGCAGGCCCAGAAAGCAGCGTATATGAAGGGTCATATTTGGAACAACCAGTTGCCCTGAAGAAGCCACGATTGTCAACATCCGAGGACATGGATCGATTTCACAAAGAGCTAAAGCTCCTGAGGTAGTGCATTGTAATTCTCCTTGCAAAATCCGTTTGCAGCCTTGACCCAGGCTCACACTGCATCATTGCTTCCGTCTTTCCGTGTGAAGCTCGCTCAAGCATCCCCACATCGCCTCGTTGCTTGCTGCTCGAGCTTATCCTCCGGACTACGTTCTCATTTTCACCCTTCATCGTGGAGGGAACCTGCATGAAGCACTTCACACGAAACAGTGGAAGCCAAGTGTGCTGGATATCCTTCGCATTGGTTATCAGGCTGCTCAAGCACTGGCGTACGTTCATTCGTTGGGCGTTGTACACCGGGATGTGAAACCATCCAACATCTTGGTATGGCTGTGTTCAGGTCCCTTTCAGCTGAGAATCCATGCCACTGCCGTTTTCTGACAGATGCCTGGGAATTGATGCAGATTGATGACCTGGGCAACGCATTTCTGTCAGACTTTGGACTTGCTGCACACTCTAGCGAGCTCCAAAAACATACGGCTGCAAACTGGCAGTCATCTGGGAAACCAACAGGAGGTTTTCACAAGAAAAACATGGTTGGAACTTTGAGGTGAACGCATCAAGTGTGTCTGCATCCAGAGAAGAAACAATTTGAGAATTCCTGTATAACGGTTACATGCCATGTGGACTTGCAGGTACATGGCTCCTGAAATCCTCGCGAAGGATGTTCATACCCTGAAGTCAGATGTTTATAGCTTCGGCGTCACGTTCAAGTACGTGCTATTTCCTTTTTGTGCATAACACAATTCTCGTGTAATCCCACCATAATTCTGGCTCTTTCTGACATTCCCCTTTCAGCGAGCTTGCCACAGGCGTCGTCCCTTACTCTGACTGTACGACTGATGTCCAGGTAAAGGTCTTCTTTCCTAGCAGCATTGTGACCGTTCTCTTAAAAAAGCCTCAAACCTGATACTATTTGTTTTTCTCCTCACCACTTGCATTGTTGTCCAGGCTCACACTGTGCTGGAGATGGATTATTCCGAACAGCAGCTGGCTGCAGCTATTACCACATTCAATCTCAGGCCGAATCTTCCTGGACAAAATGGTCCAGTCACAGAGAGACTGCAAAGCCTCATTGAAAAGTGCTGGCATCCGAACATCAACTCGCGGCCTTCAATGTCAGATGTTGCACATGACATTGAGAACATTCTCTCCGGAAGTGTGCCCTTTTCAATAGACCACACCCAACAGCCAGGCATAGTGCACAACCAACCAGATCCTTCTCAAGCCTTTCCACCTGAAGAGATTTTATCTTCCAAAAACACTGTGCTGTCAAGCAAGGTTGTGGACCTTGCCAAGCAGGCAACAGCTCATGCATCAGCTATTTCCATTGGGTCGTTTGCAACAAGTGGGGCAAGAGAGAAGATGGAAGATCGACATTTTATCAATGCATTCACTGTTGCATCTTCCACAATTCATCTGTTCGGGGTTTTCGATGGTCATCGAGGTATGCGTTGCTGAATCTTCATAATTTTGCGAGCTGTTGATGTATTACTGAATTGACTGAGAAGAATGTATCCGAATCGCTTTACAGGGTATGAAGCTGCAGAATATTGTGCACGGAACATCCCTGGAATTGTAATGGACAAGCTTTCCGAACTCAGGTGAGTTCTTTCTTGGCACATAGCTCCCATCCTCTCCTGCTTCATGAACATTGACAGTTCTGTTTCAACTGTTCTTCGTATATACCCCCGCTTCCCCCTCCCTCCCTCCCCTCCCTACTTCCTCCCCCCTCCCCCCTCCCCCCCTTTTTTGCTTCTCTGCCTCCCATTTTTTCGAATCACTTATATCATCTGCATCCGCTTTTCAGTCCACCTGAGGCTCTCATTGCGTCCTTCCTGGCAACTGACAAGGCCTTGGAATTAGAGCTGAGCAAGCAGCGAAAAGCTCGACCTGACAGCGGCAAGGGGTGGTACCCAGGGTGTACAGCATGCGTAACCCTTGTGATTGGAACCGACATGTACATTGCAAATGCTGGCGACTGCAGGGCTGTTGTGAGGCAGTCTGGAGAAGTGAAGGCACTGTCCCGTGTATGGCCTCGTCCACATGCATACCTGTGGTTTTGCTGACGTTTTTGCAAGAACAGACTGCACGTAGTTGTTGCGAAGTCCGACCCTTGTGCTAACCCCTGCTACTCTTCTTGTCTCCAGGATCACGTCGCTAGTGACCCAGAGGAGCGCAGTCGAGCAGAGAAAGCTGGGGGTCTGGTGCAGTGGCGTGTCAACACTTGGCGTGTGGGAGCTGCGGGGATTGAAGTGAGTCTCTTTCATGTCTTTCAGTTGTCAGTTTCACGTACCAGTGATATTAACCTTTCAGGGTGTTCTCTGTGCAGGTTACTCGGTCATTGGGCGACCATGACATGAAACCTGCAGTGACAGCAGAGCCAGAAGTTACCCACCACAGGCTCACTGAAGAGGACGAGTTTCTGGTGAGTATAGGCATCATCAGACACATGTGCTTTTTTCGAGCACTTCCTTTCTTGAGTATGTGGCTGCAATTTTGACAACCCGCATTGTCGGACAACCCCTCTTACTGTGGTGTACAGGTCATGGCGAGTGATGGGCTGTGGGAAAAGTTAAGCAATGAGGAAGTGTCACAGTATGTGCTAGACACTGTAAAGGAGCCCTCAATGAGCAGCAAGCGCCTGGTGACAGAGGCAGTGGATCGGGGCAGTCAGGATAATGTCACAGCAATTGTAGCATACTTGAAGAATGTATCCACAGTGGAAAGGATATACTAGGTAAGAGCTGATGTGGTGTAGCTTTACTGGTTGCTTCCAACTAACAGCCTAAGCATTGTCGTGAACAAACCAAACAAGCATTGGAATCCTGCTGACCAGATTGAGAACAGAAAAAAGATGCAAATCCTCATGCCTCAATGTCAGCTGCTCTTTCTCCTTCCCAGGAAAGCTGCTAAGGTGGCCTGTTTTACCACCTTTTTGTTCCCCGTGGCCTTGGAAGGTGCACCAACTGGCTCTCTATTCTGCTTATGAAGCACATGCGCTGCTGCTTTCACATGCTCCGAAGACCTTGCAGGCTGGTCCACGAGTACCTGTTTCAACTCACAGAAGGGAAGCAATGAAGTCAGAGAAGGTGTTTCACCAGAAAATCTACAAACATAACCGCACAGTAACCAACTTCACATGATTCTCAGACCACCACACGTACCTTATCAGTGAGTTTCGCTTTCTTGGCTGGAGAAGCTGACCATCCCTTCTCCATCTCCCTGCTCCTGTTCACTTCCCTCAGCACCTCTGATTGCTTCCTACTGGCAGCAGTTCCAGCAGTCACAGGAGACAGCAGGGGACGGGTCGGCGTGTTCATAGGTAAGGGGGTGTGATGATGCGAGTAATCCTTGTCCTCTGCAAGTGGAACCACCAGTGGACAGAACCTGGTACCTGCATCAGCAGCTGAAGACCGTGCAGCAGATACACAGAGAGGAGTGGGAGATGTATAAGCAGCAGGAGACTTGTACGCAGCAGGAGCTTTCTGAGCAGTAGGAGGTTTCTGAGCAGGGGAGCAAAGACCAGCACTGATGGCAGGTACTCGGGTGGTCTCTGTCCCGTAGAGATCTGATGACAGGCGCTTCTTCTGCTTTGCCTTCGCCTGCTGTTGCTCCCTCTGCTGTTGGTGTTGTTTTGCCGTCTGAGGAGACTGCAGCTTCTGTACTGTGAAACCATCTTCCTCCCTCACTCCCTCGCAGCTTCCCCTTTTGCTGAGGCCCATCACAGAAGTAGAAACATCAGCTTTGCCTGACGCTCCCATTCTTCCTTTGCTGGATGCCAATACTCTCTGCTGCGCTTTGAGATAGAGAGAAAGCTCCTCTCCTTCCAGCACCACCGCACCACCACCCGACCCCCCCTCGCTCCCAGTGCTGATCCCAGACACAGCAGCTTCGCTGCCGGAACTGCCTTCCAGGAGATCATCCAGACGTTTCTGCTTCTCAGGACCGTTCCCCTTCTTCCTTTGCTTCTCCTCACTCCCCTCTCTCACACCCCTCTCCTTACTCCCCTCCCTCACCTCCCTTTCACCAGTCGCCACGTCACCCTTCAGGGAATTCTCGAGGTGGTTCTTCAGCTGTTCTAGGCTCTCCCTCTTGCGCTTGGTTCTTTCCCTGTCCGCATCCATACTCAAAATGCCATCCCTGCCGATCGCCGGTGCCCTTTGGTTTGGAATTGCCATTTTCGGCTTGACTGGGGCCGAACCTGCAACAGCAGCAGGAGTAGCAGCAGCAGCAGCAGCACCGGCAGCACCAGCACCAGCAGGAGATGCGTGCGGGAGCGACGGCAGGAAAACAAGCTGCGATTTCGGCGCTGAGTGCACATCCACATGTTCCGCCTTGTGCCTCTTCTCTACTGACTCAACAGCAGCCAAGTCAACAGGGTCGGATGATACAATTGGATCCGACTCCTGTGTGCCTCCCATTCCCACTCCACCAGCCTCTCCCATGCCTACACCCGCTCCCGTGCCTCCTATTCCTCCTCTCCCTCCACCTGCTCCTGAACCCCTTCCTCCTCCTGCCCCTCCTCCTCCACCTCCCCCTCCCCTTCCAGTGGCAGGTTTCCTCAAACCAGACCATGAAACCAGAAAGCTGTCTCTCCCCCCGTCCTCCTTCCTCTTCTCCTTTCCTTTCCCCACTTCCTGCTTGCCTTCCGTCGCCTGCCCTTCAGCCTGCTTTCCTTCTCCTAGCTTCTCCTTTTGTTTAACCGCCTGGGACTTTCCAAGAACCCCCCACGCAGACACCATTGCCCCGGAATGGCAGTGCTTGTGTGGTCTGTCCTGGTGTTGGTGGTATGGGTCTCCCCCAATCTCCTCCTTCCTCTTTTCATGTTGTTGCGAGTCATCATCGTTACTTCCAACGGCAGTAGCACCACCATAAGCAGAAGCAGCAGCAGCAGCAGCAGCAGCAGCAGCAGCAGCAGCAGCAGCAGCAGCAGCAGCAGCAGCAGCAGCAGCAGCAGCAGCAGCATCACCAGCAGCAGCAGCAGAGGCACCACGAGTGGCAGCAACAGCAGCAGCTCCAGTTCTCAGCCCGCGACTGCTTCCCCATTTGTTGGAGAAGATATTTTCTCGGGAAAATTCGTACGGAATGTCCCATCTCCATGCCACCTCTTCTGCCACGTGGACTACCAGCTTTGTCAGCACGCTGGGCAGCGGCCAATCAACACGCATGAAGTCGCGCACCTTCTCAGCTTCTGTCGCCTGAGGAAGGCGAATGGAGGGAAGAGGGGAGAAGAAAGGGATGCTTAGTAGGGTTATTCATCTTTTATATGTCAAGTGGGTTGGTGAGGGTCAGGCGGGCACAGAGTGAACAGAAGAGAGACGAGAGTGTGAAGGGGAGTGGGTGTGGAGAGCATAAAGCGGAGTGAGTGTGGAGGGAGCGAGTGAGCAGGAAAGGGAGTGAGATGGGGAGTGAGGGGGAGAAAGGAAGAGGCGGTGGAGAGAGAGCATACCTGTGCGGAGCTGAGAGCGCAGTTGGCATAGGCTGCATCGTACTTGTTTGTGAGGACAAAATGAGGGTCCGTCCTGACAAGACAAGTGAGAGCACATTTGCGTATGGGACAGAGGGTTTAGCACAGACAGAAGGACAGGAGAAGTCAGTGGACGAGGGCGGAAGTGAGGAGAGCTGGGGAAGAAAAAGAGGAAGGAAGAGAAGGACCGTTTGAGGAGGAAGAGAAGTAACCGGCAAAAGCTAGCTGCAGGCTCTCTTGCTTCTCTCCCTTTTGACATCCTTCCCTCTCCGCCTCAATCCCTCCTCTTCCCCCTCACCACCTCATTCCCCCACCTCCCCCCCCGCACTTTCCCTTGCCGCCGCCTTCCCCTCTCTTACCTCAGAGCTGCAAAGTCAGAGGGCGAGCAACCTATCTCCACTGCTGCTCTCAGGAAATCAGCAGCTGCCTCGTCATCCCACCACGTGGGAAAGCGCCAGCTGACAAAGGAGGAAGGAGGGGGAAGGGGAGGGGGAGGGGGAGGGGGAGGGGAACAAGAGTGAGTGATTTTGGATAATGAGGCGCCTCAAAAGGCGGAAGGACAGGGGGCGCGTGAGGGAGCGGGTCGGGGGAGGAAGAGTGAGTGGTGGTGGTGAGGGATAATGGAAGAGAGCAGTGGTTGGGGTGATGGGCGAGAAGGGGAGGGGGGGGTGAGGAGGAAGAGGAAGAGGAAGAGGAGGAGGAGGAGGAGGAGGAGGAGGAGGAGGAGGAGGAGGAGGAGGAGGAGGAGGAGGAGGAGGAGGAGGAGGAGGAGGAGGAGGAGGAGGAGGACGACGAGGAGGAGGAGGAGGAGGAGGAGGAGGAGGAGGAGGAGGAGGAGGAGGAGGAGGAGGAGGAGGAGGAGGAGGAGGAGGAGGAGGAGGAGGAGGAGGAGGAGGAGGAGGAGAAGGAAAAATGACAGCCGCAGCGGCGGCAAGGGAAAAGGCACCACAATCAAGGGTTTAGGGTTAAACAGAGAGAGGAGGAGGCTCACCGCTTGACGACAGTAGATGAGAGAATGGCAGTGATGGTGGGGTGCTGAAACCCTTCTGGCTTGGCTGCTGCTGCTGCTGCTATCACTCTCACCACAGCCCGCATTTGCAGTCGACTGGATTTGGGGGAGGGGAGAAGGGGAGAGGCGGAGAAGAGAGGAGCAGGAAAGGATTGGGTGCTGGCAGGGTGAAGGGTGAAGGTGGCTGGGTGAAGGGTGAATTGCTCATTTTCGTAAAGATCGTTACACAAAATGTGAATGGTAAGCAAGCGTACCATGGATAATTCTCTCGCAACACTCTGCACTCCAAACTCACCTCTCTGCACTCCTAACAGACCTCTCTGCACTCTCACGCACCTCTCTGCACTCCTTACTTACCTCTCTGCACCCTTCACGCATCGCAGTCGGAATGCCACAGTGCTCATAGCCGCCCTCGCAGCAGCAGGCAGCTTCTCCCCTGCTGCTTCCTTCGGCCACAGCTCCTCTGCCTTCCTCCCATCCTCCTCCGCCGCAGCAGCAGCAGCACCAGGATGATTGGCAGCAGCGTACGCAGCAACAGCAGCGCTCAAGACAGGATCAGCGAAATCTATGGTTCGGTGGTGGGGTTTGGACTTCTGCCCGCGCAGTGCCAGGTCTAAGCTGAGTTGGTGTGACTCAGAGAGGGCGTGCACTGAGCGGTACACGCGCTCTAGAGCTGCTGCCACTTCTGCTACTTCCTCCTCTGACCGCTGCTGCAGCTTTGCTGCCTGACGTAGCTTGTCTGAGGACGGGGAAGGGACGGGCAAGAGCGGGGGAAAAGGGGAGGGGGGGGGGGGGAAGGGGAGGGGAAGAGAGGAGAGGGGGAGGAGTGCTGCAGATGGAGAAGGAAGAAACGTCTAGGCTGAGTTGGTGTGACTCGGAGAGAGCATGCACGCTGCGGTACACGCGCTCTAGAGCCGCTGCCACTTGTACCACCTCCTCCTCTGACCGCTGCTGCAGCTTTGCTGCCTGACGTAGCTTGTCTGAGGATGGGGAAGGGACGGAGGAGAAGGGGGGGAAGGGACGGAGGAGAAGGGGGGGAAGGAAGGACGAGGAGAGGGGAGTGGGAAGGGGAAGAGAGGCAGAGGAGGGAGGGAGATGCAACAGGAGGCTCGAGGGAGAAGGGACGTGCAGAAGTAGCTAAAGCTGGTGTGACTTGGAGAGCGAGTGCAGCTGCGGCACTCTCCCCGCACACGTTTTTTCTAGCCCCGCACCCTCTTCTGCACTCACTCCCCCCCCCTACTCTCATCTGCTCGTCCGTTATTTCAAATCACTGCATTCCAGTGCAGAAAAATCCGCCTTTCACTCTAAATCGCTGTTGAAGCGATTAATAAACAGCCCCTCGCGGGCTTTCTCGGAAGCGATACAAGCATTTCAACTCACCTCCTTCCAGTGCAGAGAAGAACACCTTCCACTCAAGCCGCTTAATCTCTGCTTCGTTCCACGGCCGCACTTTCTTCTCCCGGCCTTGCCCTTCCCTCTTTGCCTTCCTCACTGCTCTTCCCCCCCCGCACTCCCCCTCACTCACCCCATCCTCTCCTACCCACGCCACATCCTCTCCCAACCCATCATCCCCACCTACTGCGCCTCTCCCCCTCTTCCTCCCCTTCCCATCTCCCCTCTCCCCCTCCTCCCCACTGCTCCCCTCCCCACTTTCAGACTCCCCACTTTCCCCTTCCTCCACCTTCCCCTTCCCTCCCACTCCCCCTTCCGCACCCTCTGCACCTCCCCCTCCCGCCCCTCCTCCCTTTCTCACGCCTCCCTCCGCGTATACCACTTTCTTCCTCCTCCTCTCCTCCCTTGCCAACGGCGTAAACCCATCCAGCGGAGATTCCTTTGCTGCCCGAGCTGCCCGGCAGGCCTCGGGCAGCAACTCTTCCCAAAACTCCACGCCTTGCTTGATTGCATTCCCATCTGCCCCACCTCGCGAAGACCGGGTACTCCTTCTATTGCTGCCACCACCTGCATTCTCGTTCTCATCTCCCTCCCCTCCACTACCATGTCCCCCTCTTTCTGGACTTCCCCTGTCCCCGTCGGGGTTCTCTTGATCCTCCTCTGCTGCTTCCTCTGGCCCCTCGGGTTCCTCTGAAGCGAAAGTGGCTATAGAGAATGTGCTTGTACCGGATCTGCAGTGGGGAGAGGAAGCAGAGGAATGTGAGGCAACAAAAAAGGAAAGAGAAAGGAGGGAAGGAGGGGGGTTAGAGAAGGAAGCACAAGCAGAGGACGTGGCTGGAGATGCAGTATTGCTGCATCTCCTTGTTCTTGTGTTTCCGTGTTTCCCTGTTTGCAGTGTTGGCAATTCTGCGATTTTGCTGCGCGGCTCACCCGCCGATGGTGCGTGTCTGCGTGCGCTGCTCTAGGATCTGGTCAATGTTCTCCGCTGTGAATCGCACGCTATCCTCCGCCGCCTCGTCTTTGAACAGCTCATACGCCCCGTGCTGCAGCAGACTCTCTATATCCTTACTCTGCTCCGGATTCCGCACCCCACCTCCCCCCGCGGCCCCCCCTCCCGCACCCCCTGCGCCACCCGCGCCTTTCCCCCTCTTTCCACGCCCCCCTCCTCCCCCGCCCGCCCCGTCTGCTTCTTCTCCTTCTCCCCCGCCCCCTGCCGCATCCCCATTCCCCCCGCTCCCCCCGCTGGCGCCTTGGTAGTTGCCCAGAATGGCTTCCTCTAGGCCGTACTTGCGTGAGGCACAGTCAAACAGCTGCTGCTCGTAGGTGCGGTGCGTTATCAGCCGATAGACTTTCACGTCCTTGCTCTGCCCGATCCTGCTCGTGAGAGGGGTAGGGAGGCAGGGGGGGGGGGGGGGGGGGAGGAATAGGACGGGAGTTTTGATGAGAGTGGTCAGCGCAATATCAGCCGATATACCTTCACGTCCCTGCTATGCCTGATCCTGCACGTGATAGGAGGAGAGGTTAAGGGGATAGGGAGGGTTGCTGTTCCTGTCTGCGTTCCAACACCTGCGGCACCACCACCTGCACCACTGCCTGCACCACCGCCCCGCCCAACCTGTGAAACCCACCGCACCTGTGGCAGCGAGCCATGGCCTGCAAGTCGTTCTGAGGGTTCCAGTCCGAGTCATAGATGATGCACGTGTCCGCCTGCCATTGGGCGGTCGAGTAGAGGGGGAGAGGTGGAGAACCGGGAGGTGGGGTGGGGTTGAAGTCGGTATAAAGGTGGTTTTTTTAGAGGGTTGAGTGGGGCAGTTGTAGATGGTGCACGTGTCTGGATGCAGTCCAGGGCGAGCAGAGGGGCCATGAGTGGCTACGAGTAGAGGGGCCATGAGTGGCCCAAAGTGAGTGAGGGGAAGAATGCAGGCAGGATCAAAAGAACAATGGGCACTTCATCAGATTGAGGGCGCGAGTGAGCAAGTGAGCGATGAAGGGATCGAGTGAGCAAGTGAGCGATGAAGGGATCGAGTGAGCAAGTGAGCGATGAAGGGATCCAGTGAGCAAGTGAGCGATGAAGGGATCCAGTGAGCAAGTGAGCGATGAAGGGATCGAGTGAGCAAGTGAGCGATGAAGGGATCGAGTGAGCAAGTGAGCGAGCGGGATTGAGTGAGCGTGAGTGAGCGAGGAGGGCAGGAGCGGGGGTCGTACCGCAGTGAGGGTGATACCGAGACCGCCCGCCTTGGTGCTGAGCAGAAACACAAAGGACGCACTGCCTGGGCCTGAGAAGCGGTCAATAGCCGCCTGCTCAAGTGTGTGTCGCGGGGGGTGTGTGAGTTGAGGGAGAGGGAATGGGGTATGAGGATGGGGAAAGGGCCACCTTGGTGCTGAGAAACGGCAATAGAAGCCTGCATAGGTGTGTGCGAGGTAGGGAGGGAGTGAGATGTGGAGTATGAGAGGTTAAAAGTATGAGAAGGTACTACAGGTAAGAGGTGTATGGGGATGAACCATGGAGAGGGGAAGTATGTGTGCTGGAAGAATGAGGAGGATGAGGATGAGGATGAGGATGAGACGGTTCAGACGTCTGAGAGCACGCACGGACGCACCTGGCGCTGCTCGCCCTTGATGGAGCCATCGAGTCGCTCATAGATGTGACCGTTGGCCGTGAGATAGTCCTCCAGTAGGTCCAGCATTATCACGAACTGGCGGTGAGTGATTCGAGGAGTGGGATGAGAGAGAGGAGTGGGACGATGAGGAGAGAGCAGTGGGCGAAAGGTCAGTGAGATAGTCCTCCAGCAGGTCCAGCATTATCACGAACTGGTGGGAGGAGTGGGGGACGAATGGGAGGGGAGTGAGAGGAGTGGGAGGGTGAGGGGACAGGGATAGGCAGGAGGTCAGTGGGAGGGCGCAGAGAGGCGCAGGGAGGGCGTAGAGAGGTGCAGGGAGGGCGTAGAGAGGTGCAGGGAGGGCGTAGAGAGGTGCAGGGAGGGCGTAGAGACTCTGCAGAGAGGTCGCAGGCACAATAGAGCGACACACACCTGGGAGAAGATGAGCACGCGGTGGCCGGCGGTCTTGAGCTTAGGCAGCAGCTTGTCCAGCAGAACCATCTTGCCGCTGCCCTGCACCAACATGCGCTGCCTCACCGCCTCCCCATCCACTGCGCCCCCTGCTGCTAGTGCTGCTGGGGGTGATGGGAGTGCTGTGGGTGATGCGGGTGGTGGTGGTGGTGGTGCTGCTGCTGCTGCTTCCTCAGCGTTGTCAGCAGCACCAGCGGCAAGGGGGGCAAGTGCAGCAGCATCCGCAGCAGCAGCAGCAGCAGCAGGAGCAGGAGCAGGAGCAGGAGCAGGAGCAGGAGCAGGAGCAATAGCATCGGCATCAGCAGCAGCAGGAGATTCAGCAACTGGTGGTGCTAGTGCCAATGGGACGGCTGTAGCAGCAGCAGGAGATTCAGCAACTGGTGGTGCTAGTGCCAATGGGACGGCTGTAGCAGCACCAGTAGCAGTTGCAGCAGCAGTGGCGGCTGTGGCAGCTGTAGCAGCAGTGGCAGCAGCAGTAGCAGCAGCATAGGCCTTGAGCACCATGTCCTCCTCTAGTCCGTTGCATAGGAAGGGGTGGTTGCACAGCTTGCGCAGCTCCATGGCCTGATGAATTTACGGATGGGGAGAAGGGAGATGGGGGGAGGGGGGAAGGAGGGGGTGGAGGCAGGTAAGTGGATTAACAGGGCATGACAAGAGGGGCTGATAGGCGGGTGGTTGCACAGCTTGCGCGGCTCCATGGCCTTATGGGTTTACGGATGGGGAGAGATGGGCAATGTCAAAAGACAGCATGTCAACACGGGCTGATGACTTGGTGGTTGCACAGCTTGAGCATTTTCACCCGCGTCCAACCATACCCATACATTGGCCCACTTCCCTCAGGTGTCGCAGATTCAGGAGGTTCTTGTTAGACGCGCCCTGCAGCAGCAGGCGGTCTCTAACCACCAACCATCCCTGCCTCTCCCCCTCTTCCCCTCCCCCCCACCGCTCTCCCCTTGTCCCGCTCTCCCCCTATCCCCCACTCACCAGGTTCCGCAGATTCGGCAGGTTCTTATTCGACGCGCCCTGCAGCAGCGTGCCGATGCGGTTCCGATAGAGAGCCTGGTAGTAGCGCCGCTGGTCTCTCGTCAGCTCCACCCACACAATCACCTCCTCCTTGCGCGGTAGGCTCTTCTCCACGTCCTCCTTCATCCGACGCAGCAGCCTCGGCCGAAGCACCTCCTCCTGCAGCACCCGAACCTGCTCCGCGTCAGTGATGTTGCCGAACCGAGCCAGGAAGTCAGCCTCGTCGCCGAACGTGGCTGGGTCAAGGACGTTTAGCAGTCCACTGAGTGGGGGAAGACACACGGGCGGGGGAACGGGAAGGGGAAAATGGGGGGAGGGGTGTAGTGGAAGATAGAGTGTGGTTGAGGGTAGAGCAGGCGAGAGGGCACGCGGGAGAGCGAGTGAGAAGAGGGCGTATGAGTGGAAAGCGGTTGAGGGGAGAGCGGGTGAGGAGTCATGGTGTGAAAAGAGAGAGGGAGGGCTGGGAGAGACAGATAATAGGAGCGGCACCACCCCACTCTCACCAACCGATGGCAGCACCATCCCACTCCCCCCAACCGCTTGCAGCACCACCCCGCTCCCACCAACCACTTGCAGCACCACCCCGCTCCCACCAACCACTTGCAGCACCACCCCACTCCCCCCAACCGCTTGCAGCACGTACAAGAGCTCGCGCGTGTTGTTCTGCACGGGCGTTCCTGTGAGCAATAGCAGGCCCCCTCGCCTGATGCACAGCTCCTTGAGCGCTGCTGTGGTCTTGGCTGTCGTGCTCTTCATGCTGCCACACAGAAAGAAACAGCAAACAGAGAGAGTAGAGTGAGCAATAGCAGCCTCCCTCGCCTGATGCACAGCTCCTTGAGCGCAGCCGTTGTCTTGGCTGTCGCGCTCTTCATGCTGCCAACAAAAGGGAGATGGCATGGGGTGGGGCCGGGGAGAGGGTGAGGAAGTGAGGGGGGGACAAAGGGCACACAGTGAGCACACAGCTCCCACCGCCCTGCTCTCATCCCCCACACTCCAACCGTCCTATTCCTCTCTCTCATCTCATCAGTGCGTGTCATCTCTCACCGGTGAGCCTCGTCCACGATGCACAGCTCCCACCGCACGTCCCTCAGAGGTTTGCGGTCCTTCTGCAGGATCTCGAAACTCGTCAGCACCACCTGAGAGATGCCACGGAAACACGCAGGTGAAATCCCAGGTGACTTCAACAAAAGTCTCAACCAGTCCTGGACAGGGAACATTGCAACCTGCAAACAAAATGAACACGCAAGATCTCCGTCTCTCGTCACCTCCTCCCACATTCACAGTTGTCTTCCTCTTTCCCCCAATACACGCCTCCATCCCCGTTCATCTGGACACTGTTCCCAAGGCCTTTCCCCCCTCTCCAACTCTCACATGCGCGCGGCTCCCCTTTCCCTTCCCTTTCTCCGCGCAACTCACATGCGCGCGCACGCCGCGGCCGCTGGGGTGCGCGAGCTCGTGCTCGCGGATCAAGGCGCGGTCGTCCTTAGACCCGACGAACGGCACGCAATTAATCTCCGAGGAAGAGAGCGACTCCAGCTCGCGCTGCCAGTGCGGGAGCGTGGACACCGGCGCTACCACCAGGAACGGCCCGCGCACGCCCGTGCGCAGGCGCACCGCCTCCAGCAGCGCGACGGACTGCGCAGAGTCGGGGGGTGGGGGAGAAGGGAAAGACGGGGGAGGGGAGGGGAGGGGGAGAAAGGGTGCGCGGAGAGCGGGGACGATTGGGGAAGCGGGTGAGACGGGAACGGTGGGTAAGGGGAACAAGCGGAGAGGGAGAAGCGGAGCGGGAGACGCGGAGAGGGAAGTGGAGAGGAGGGGAAGGGGTGAGGGGGGTGAACTTGGACGCGCGGTCGGCGCGGAGAACGATATTGCGGAGATTGGCAAAACTTAGGTTAGATGGGATGGGAAGACAGGGATGAGGTAATCGACGAGGTTGCGAGGAGTCATGAGAAGAACAAACAGTGGCGCTTCCACACACATCCCACCCGCCCCTCCCAACTCTCCCCCTTCTTCCCCCCTCCCTTCTTCTCCCCGCTTCTTCCCCTCCCCTCTCATACCCCCTTTCCCCCTTCTAGCCGATCCCCACCACCACTTCCCTCACACACCCGCTTCCCGCCGCGCACCTGCATGGTCTTCCCCAGCCCCATTTCGTCCGCCAGAATGCAGTTCACGCCCTTGTTGTAGTTGTGATACAGCCAATCAACGCCCGCCACCTGGTACTCGCGCAGCGTGCGCCCGTTCTTAAACTCCACCCCCGTCGACGCCGGCTCTCCGCGTTTCACGGCCACCGGAGCGCGCCGTCGCATCGCGGCTTTATCGTAGAAGGTGTGAAACTTTTCGACTGCCCGGACATCGTCCGGATCGTCCCGAAGCGCGCTGTCGTCCTCCCACGTGGCGGCCGTGTACGGAAGCGCCTTCCACTTGACCAAGTAACGCATCGCGTCCTTCTTCCGCCCGCGCTTCGTGCTTATAACGCGATCCACGCGCAGGTAGTCCGGATCGAACGGAAGAACGAGATCCGACTCAGCACCGACGACCTCCACGTCAGCGTCATCGTTCGGCTCGGCACTCGCGCCGCTGGCAGGAGCAGGACCGTCTTTGACAGCGCCGCGGGCGGCGATGGAGCGCTGGCGGAAGGACATGAGGAGACGGGGGAATTGCTCCTGCAGCGCAGCTTCCGCCATCCACACCACGTCGCGGTAACTCCGCCCGACTAGCTTCACCAGGAAAACCGGCGCCGGTGACACCGCAGCAGTCACCTCAGCGGTCGCTGCAGGTGAGTCCGCAGCAATCACCGCAGCAGTCGCCGCGGCTGATGCTTCTTCCTCCGCCGCCGCGCCTTCCTCTCCGGCTGCGCTCGTTCCCCCTTCTGCGCTTGATTTCGGCCCGCTGTCCGCTCTTTCCGCGGACGGTCGTTCCGCGGGCTGGCGCGCCAGCAGCACCTTCTCCACCGGGGCGGGGGGCTTCGTTACGAGCGGTCGCGATAAAAGCCACGCACTATCCGCGATAATGGCCGCCATCTTCGAGCCCGGATCTTGGTTCTCCTTCGCCGTCTCTTTGGTCTTCCGCGAGACCCCCTCCTGCGCGCGCTGCTTCCGCCGCTCGCGCGCCCTGGCGGTGGACGACGCCGGCAAGACCGCGGCGGCTTCCGCCGCTGCCGCCGCCGCCGCCGCCGCTGCCGCAGCAGCAGCAGCAGCCGCGGAAGAAGAAGCGTTACCGGTGGTGATGGACTGGAGGCGAGACGATCTCCGTCGACCTTGCTCCGGCTCTGGCGATACTGTGGCTGCCTTTTGCCACCCTTTCTTGCCCTTACCTCTAGTTTCTTTCTCCTCTTCTTCCTCGTCTTCCTCTTCTTCTTCCTCTTCTTCCTCTTCTTCCTCTTCTTCCTCCTCTTCATTCTCTTCTTCCTCCTCTTCCTCCTCATCATCCACTTCTCCTTCCTCCTTTTCTTCCTCGCCATGCTCCTGTTCGTCCGCTTCCTCCTCCTCTTCTTCCTCCTCTTTCTCTTCCTTTTCCTCCTCAGCTTTAGCCTCCACGCCACGTTGAACGTTACTCCCCTTCGCAGAGTCGGCTACGCCCGAGTCGCGCCGCGTCAGCTTCTTGCTACCCGGCAACGAGCTCGCCACTCGCTGCACTTGCCCTCGCGACGCCGCCGCCGCCTCCTCGTCTCCGCGCAGCTGTTCCCCGCGCTTACCCGCCAAACCGCCTGCGCTTCCGCCTTGCTTGCCTTGCGCCCGCGCGGAGTCCGCCTCCGGATGTCCTCTCAGCCGCGGAGACTGCCTGCGCGCCGAGTTTTTAGCATTGGCATTCCGGGGGGCAGCTTTTCCGGCAGGTTTGCTGCATCTCTTCGCGGGCAGCTTCCCCCCACCGATATCCTCATCGTCGTCACTAGAAATCTCCAGCATTTCTTCTTCGTCTTCACTCGCCTCCGTCTTATTCCCGTCCTTCTCGCCGCCTCGTGGCTTAACGTCCGTCGCGTCCTTGTCCACGCGATCCGTCGCCGGCTCCGCCTCCTCTTCTTTGTGCTCGTTTTGGTCACTCTCGTCGTCATCACCCTCGCTGATATCCTCTCCGTCGCCATCACTCTCCGCCTCCTCCTCGCCCGTTTCGACCGCGTCATCGCTGTCCTCCTCCGCGCCCTCCGCGTCCTCCGCATCCTCCGTCTCCCCGTCACTCCCATCTGAACCCTCGTCGCTGTCGCCGTCACTCTCGTCCTCGCTACCTTCGTAATAGCTGGCCGGGCCGGCGGTGCGCGATCTTCCGGATCGCCTTTGACTGCCATTGCAACCCTGAGAGCCGTTCTCATTGTCGCCTTCATCTGCCTCGTTTGTCAGTCTCGACGACTTTCTGCGAGCGGCTTTCGCCATGGCTCCTGCGCCTCGACCGCGGATTTCCGGCCTTTGCTGAGCTGCCTTACCCGCTTTAACTTCACGTTCTGGCATTTTTCCCGAGCCGACCACCGCTGCTTCGTCTCCAGGTGCCATCGGGGCAGCGTTTTTCGCGTCGCTGGTGCTATTTGAAAAATCCGCCGCAGAATTATCTGGGAAAATGGAGGGAGTGGAAGTTTCTCCGCCAAGCAGCGACTTGTTCTTCCCAGCTGCTGCTAGCCCATTGGAATCATCGACGCAAATAGCAGTCATGACAGAAGGAGGACGAGAGTTGTAGTCGTGTTCTAAGAGCCAATGCAGGGCGAAGATGCAAGGGAATGGAACCGGAATTCGTACATGGAAGCAAGTCGCGCTATCTTCGAGTTCAGACGCGGCAAGGTGAGGTGCCACCAGGAGGGTTCTGCTATAGCGTATTCGAGACGACTGGAATGATCAGTATTGAGAGTGAGTACGCACACAGAAAGACCTGGATTCTATGCTTTTGAAAGAGAACACGAAAGCTGAAAGGCGGGCAAATCGCGGGAGCGGCTGGTGGGTTTGGTGGGATGTGCCAGAGAACCAAAATCGTGGGGAACCGAGCCGCATGTTTGGCGTCTGATTCAAACACAGAATTTGAATTTCCTGGCAGTTTTTCCCCAGCATTCCATTTCAAAGGTTTGAACTGCACGATTGTATCGGAAGCTGTGGCTGGATTCGAATGAGAGTTTATGTATACACCGCAGAAACTTCCTTGCATATATGTTGTCAACGAGTACGACAGAATTTGATTCACAATATTGGAATGTGCTGTCTCGAACATTCTTCACCCTGGTGAGCTCCTTGGTTGTGTGCATCCAAGCTGGATAGGGTTCGTGCCACAAAAAGTCCAGACACCTATCGGATTCTACTTTTTTTCCACGTGGGATAGCCTCGTCACGGACGTCAGCAGTTATCTCCTAGGTTCGTTGCACACTAACCGGGCCGCGAGCTTCTCCTCCCAAGCCTCCACCTCGTTCACCCAATCAGGAGCAGCTTAGCGTGAAAGGGACCCACTTCTTGTCCTTGGCCTTTCGAACTCCAAAGGGTCATTCAATACGACCAGGATCTTCCCAGCCATTATGATTGGCAGGGAAGCTGGGTCATGGGGGGGGGGGGCATGTCGTCTCATGAGATCGCCTTCCTGGGGGTGTCTGGACATTGAAGTGGGGACAGCGAAAAGTGCATTCCGCACGTGCAAGGCATTGGGGTTTGTGATGAGGTGGCGGGGGGACGAATGTGGACGTCGCAGGTTGGGATGAGCGCCCCAACGTGCGATGGCTATGCGGTCGCAGAGGGGGATGGATTCGTGCGGTCTCTGTTGATTGGCCGATGGAATGTTGAGTCTCGAAACGGTCGCACACACAGGAGTTGGTGAGGTCGTGAGAGCATCTTTTGCGCTGCCACGCTGGAACCACTGCGGTGCACTTTTGGGGGCTGTCCTGTCCCAAGTTCGCAGGAAGGCGATCTGAGATGGAAGTGGGGCCCAACCCCACAAACCAGTGTCAACGCGGTGCGACAGTCGAGACGGAACATGCGCCACGAGATTTGATGACAAAAACAGGTTTTTGGTTCCCTTCCCTCCCCATCCCCGTAATATTCTTGCATGGGAGAGGGGATCTCGAGAGAAAAGCAGACTTGAGAGACGGAACAGTTTTGACTTGCAGCGGATGCTGTTTTGACCTTCCGTCGTTTCTCGACAATACTCCTCCAGCCTCTGACGCGCGGATTAGTAGATCCGGCTGCAATCGTTTCTCGTCACAACTTAAATCTGAAAGGGTTTTATGTCCCCACTTTTGCATTCGGTTCGCAACATAGTAGTAACACGGACGTCGTCGCAAAGACATAAAGGTCGATCTGGCAGGCGCGGACGAATCTAGAACAGCATCGGCGGCGTCCGCAAATCTGGTGCGCGCGTGCAAGCGCCGCTCCTATTCGAAGCATGCGCAACATTCTCATGCAACAGTATAAGTAATCGATAGATCCTCGCTCTGGCTCCCTCGTCTATAGTTTCTACTAGAAACGTCTAGTAGGCGTCTGGAACGCGTCCACGAGGCTCGTAGCTGGCAAGGCATCTCGTAGCGGGAAAGTCATCGCAAGAACCTGCTCGTCTGCTCGTGTTCCTTTGAAGAAGCGCGCGCATGCTTCCGCATCCACACTGGAGACGTTTGAGAACGTAGGAAGTTTGCGAAAGCCGTCGCTGCCGGGGTTCCGACTTCAGCGTTTCGATTCGGAAATCCGCATTTCATCACCGCTAGTACGACTACTTCAACTATTAACAGTGCTGCCCGTTGCCTCTTTATAAGAGGCGGATTGCCGTGCCCATGCGCTCCCCTCTCCCCCCGTTCCGCCATCCCGCTCCGCGAAACTCTCCGCAATCCGCGGCGGCGCCACCACCGCCGCCCACGTCGCTTGTGCCGCCCATCTCAGTGTTCCCGATGACAACGGCGACAATCCCGGCGCCGAGTCCGCCTGGCCTTCCGCCCATCGGCGCGGCTGCGCCAACTGGGTTCGCGCTGAACATAGCGTATCCCGCATGTTACGCCGCAACTCCCGCTATGGCCTTCGTCGGCAATCACCCTATGATGGCCGCAGCTGCCGCTGCTGCTGCAGCCGCGTCGGGACAGCACCAGGCAGTCGTGTCAGGAGGAGGGGGGGGGTTCGGCGCAGGCGGAGGGGGAGGGGGGGATCCTAGCTGTGGCGGAGGCGCGGGTGGGGGTGGAGGGGGAGGTGGCCGGGGGAGCGGCATTGGCTCGCGGACGGGGATTTGCGCGGCGAAGCACATGGAGGCGGAGCAGAGGCGACGCGCGAGGATCAACGAAAGGTGCTAGTCATGTGCTATTCGTGGTGACGGTGGTACCATCAGTCTGTGTGATGATGCTCCTATGCTGCTCCTATGATGCTCCTATGATGCTCCTATCATGCTCCTATCATGCTCCTATCATGCTCCTGTCATGCTCCTATCATGCTCCTATCATGCTCCTATCATGCTCCTATCATGCTCCTATGGTGCACCTCCTAGTAGTTCTTGGTGACTACTCGCAGTGCTACCACGGATGTATGTTTGTACTGAAATACCGCGCTCCCTTCTACTGCCCCCTTCCCTAGTCCGCTCCTTGTTCCCTTTGAGCTCAGGCGTAAGTTACAGAACAGCGTCCCTTCAACCTGAAGCATGACTTTTGAATCGACTCAAGAGTCACCTCGTCGCTCTATCCGAAGCGTTATTGATATAGAGCTGACACGCTACTTGCATTACCATTATTACCCATGGTCGCTCAGCTAGTAGTAGTCGAGACGAGACCCTGAAGTCCACACAAAGGCCACGCCGGCGGCCGTGCTTCTGGAAGCATCTTTTGAGGGGGCGGTCTTCTGGAAAGCCTCAAAAGGGCTCAGAAAGCGCCTCAAAAGACAAGACCTTTTGACTCGCACTGACGATCGTGCTTCCACATCTGGAACCTCCGGCTTTCATCTCCCTTCCTTTTTGCCTGCTCGCTTAACCTCCCCTACCCCAATCCTGTTTTTTTTTTTTCTGTTTTCCTCCCTCTTGCTTCCCTCTCTTCTCTACCGTTGCCGCCAGTTTGGACGCTCTGAAGAGCTTGGTGCCACACCATGCGCAGCAACACAATATACATGGGACATCAGTTGTGTTATTTTCTCCTTTCCTCCGTCTCCCCAACTCCCCGGTTCTCCAGTTCCCCTCTGTTCCATCGTTGCTGCGCCCCTCGTCTCCTCTCACCGCCGTTTGGAGGCGCTGAAACGGTTGGTGCCACACCACGCGCGCAGCAACACAGCCTCGTTCCTGCCTTCGAGTCGACTTAAAAAGCCTCCTTTCCCCTTTTTTGTCTGCCGTTGCTGCTCCCCTCGTCTCCTCTCTCGCCTCGCCGCAGTTTGGACGCGCTGAAGCGGTTGGTGCCACATCACGCGCGGAGCAACACAGCAGCGTTCCTGAATTTTCAACCGACTTACAAGTCTCTTTTCTTCCACCTTTTGTCGGCCATTTCCACGCCCCCTGTTCTCGCCTCGTTGCAGTTTGGACGCGCTCAAGAGGTTGGTGCCGCACCACGCGCGCAGCAACACAGCAGCATTCCTGGTGGAGGTGTATGGATACATCGAACGGCTTCAGGAGAAGCTGGGGCGACTAGAATCCAAGGCCGCTGCTGCGGCTGCTACCGCTGATGGTGCTGCTTCTGCTGCTGCTGGTGCTGCTGGTGCTGCTGGTGGTTCTGCTGGTGCTGGTGGTGGTGCTGGTGCTGCTGATGGTGGCGGCGCTGCTGCTGCTGCTGCTGCTGTTGGTGGTGCCGCTGTGTCTGCTTCTGCTGCAGCTGGTGGTAACGGTATGAGGCCCGCATGTCGAGGTGCTGGTGGTGCTGCTGGTGACGGTGGTGGTTCGACTGCTGCTGCTACTGCCACCGTCTCTGGTGCTTGTGCCCCTGCTGCTGTTGCATCGCAGTTAGTGGGAGGAAGCACGGGTGCTGTTGCTGGTTGTGCACCTGTCGATGCTGCTGCTGCACCTCCAACCGCTGCTACTGCTGCTGCTGCTGCTGCTGCTGCTGCTGCTGCTGCTGCTGCTGCTGCTGCTGCTGCTGCTGCTGCCGCTGCTGGCGCTGCTGCTGCTAATGGTTCTGTCAGAGCAACAAAACAGAAGCACAGTGATGTAACTCCGGCTGCAGATGATCTTTTACCCCCTCTTGCTGACACGCCTGCTGCCGCTGTTGCTGCTGCTGGTTGTGGTGGCATGAAATCAACGCTGGCGCCTAATATGGTTGCTCGCATCGGTTTGAACAAGGGAGAGGCAGAGATGAGAGGAGTGGGAGCGGCAGAGGCGCGGGGAGTGGGAGAGGCAGAGGCTAGAACAGTGGGAGCGAGCGAGGAGCAGGATGAAAGGGAAAGAGGGAATAGAGGTGAGAGCGATGGGGGGCTTCGGAACGGCAGTCAGTCTTGGGGAAGGAAGGGAAGCAGGAAACGGAAGAGAGTAGAGAGGGGGATTCAGGAAAGGAAGGAAAGGACAGGAGGGACAGAGGGAAGGAGAGTAGAGGGAGGGGATGGGGGAGAGGAAGGAAGGGGAGTGGAAGAAGTAGGGCTGCGAGAGACGGGAAGGGCGAGGAGGGAAGAGGGAGGTGGAGATGGGTGGAGGGAGGTGGAGTTGGTGTTTCCAGATTCTGGGGAGAGAATGAGCGGGAAAAGGGAGATGGGTGCGAGGGAGAGGATGGGCAGAGGGGAGGGGGTGATAGGAGGGGATATGGGGATGGGTTGGGAGGGGAGGATGGGCGGGGAGCAGTGGATGGGAAGGGAGGGAGGGCATGGACGGATAGATCTAACTCTGATGGTTGATGCAGGGGAGGAGAGCAATTACAGGGACTTAGGGGGTATACGGCATTGTGGAGCAGTGGCGCATGGGGTGACACTGGGTGGGAGGGTGTGGAGAGGGGGCATGGGAATTGGGGAGATAAGAGGGAGAATGAAGCAAGGGGGGGTGATGGGGGGGAGAAGTTGCGCGGATGGGGAGGAAGCTTTGATTGGTGGGGGTCGTAGAGAGGAGGGGCGGGAGGGAGGATGGAGAGTAGGCGAGAGGAGGGGTGATGGTGGGTTGGGAGAAGGGGAAAGATGGGAAGAGTATGGATGTGGGAGGGTTATGAGACGCACAGCTGATGGGGTGGTTGGGGGGGATGGGGGTGATGGGGTTGATGGGGGTGATGGGGGTGATGGGGGTGATGGGAATGGAGTGAGTATGCGAGGCAGACAGGAGGATGAGTGTGTTGATACCAGCAGTGCTCCCACGCGCAGAGAGCGGGGGATTGATGTGAGGAGAGGAGGGATATATGGCTGCAGAGAAAGAGGCCGCAGGCGAAATAGTGGTTCGGAGGCAGGCGTACTGCAGGGGGAGGCTTTTGAGTCGACTCATAAGTCACTTAGAAATAGTGTTTTGGAAGCAGGCGTACAGGGGGGGGAAGAGGAGGAGAAAAAGAAAGAGGAGAAGGGGGAGGAGGAGGCGGATGAGGAGGAGGAGGGAGACGAGGAAGATGAGGAAGAGGAGGAGGATGAGGGGGATGAGGGGGATGGGGGGGATGAGGGGGATGAGGGGTCCAAGCACAAACCCGAGGAGCAAGAGGGAGTGGATGGTGGTGAGAGGTCGGCAGAACCTGTCACAGGCGCGAACGTTTTTGAGAACTCTCAAACGCAACTCAAATTGTGCATTCACGCTGTCGGAACTCACAGTGGGAGTGCAGAGGTGAGGCGGAGTGGGGGTGCTGTTGCAGGGGCGGGAGTGAGGGATCGTGGTGCTGAGGGGGACGCAATGGCAGCTGAAACTGATGCACTGACGGCAATGGGGACACAGACGCAGGCACAGACGCAGGAACAGGCACAGGCACAGGCAAAAGCACATGCACACGCACAGGCGCAAGCACTGGCACAGGCACATGCACACGCACAGGCAAAGGCACAGGCACAGGCACAGGCACGGGGACAGGCGCAGGGAATGGCAGAAGGGAAAGTGGCAGAGGGGAAGGTGGTGGGACAATGCATGGCATACAGGCAGGAGCAAGGCGACGCGGCATTGAGAAGAGAGCAGCATGTGGCACCACAAACAGAGACGACTTTTGAGGCGCCTCAAGAATTGAGAAGAGAGCAGCATGTGGCAGTGGCACCACAAACAGAGACCACACGAGTTGTGGCAGCAGCAGCAGCCGCAGCAGCAGCAGCAGCAGCAGCAGCACGCACCACCACTTGTGGTGCTACTACGCTTGCTGCTCCTGCTGCGTCTACTCCAGCTGCTGCTCCTACTTCTGCTCCTCCTCCTCCCCCTCCTCCTCTTCCTCCTCCTGCTGCAGCTGCTGCTGCTCGTACCGGCACATCTGCTGTGGCTGTACCTTTTGGTGCCCAGGTGTCCCAGGTGTCCCCGACGTCCCCGACGTTCCCTCCTGCTGCACCTCCTGCCCGTGCCCCTGCTACTGCTGCTGCTGTGGTTAGATCAGCAGTTACCAGGGGTTCTTCTGCTGCTGCTGGCGCTGCTGCTGCTGCTGCTGCTGCTGCTGCTGCTGCTGCTGCTGCTGTTGGTGGCGGTGGTGGTGGTGCTGCTGCTGTTGGTGGCGGTGGTGGTGGTGCTGCTACCGCTACTGCCAGTGCTGCTGTGTCTTCTGTGGCTAAGGGAGCTGGTAGAAACCGGTAAGAAAGGATCAGGCTTTCTTAGTTTCTTGAGAAGTCACTTCATTTCGCAACTTATTCAAGTCATCTTAGGTCATTGGAAAACCCGTTTCCTGCTGAAGCCTTTCAGTGTTAAACCCTTTTTTCTTCTTTTTTCTTTTTTTACCCACTACATGTCTCTGCGCTTTTTGTTTTTCTTGACCCTGCTCCCATTTTCTCAGCAGGAACAGAGGATCAGCAAAAGCAAGTATCGCAGAAGCAACAGCAGCATCAACAGCAGCAGCATCAGCAGCAGCAGCAGCAGCAGCGGCCGCAGCAGCCACAGTGGGACCTCTCCCCACTCCAACAGCAACGCTATCCTTCCCAGCAGCCTTCGCCACCACCACCACCACCCTCCCAGTCACCTTCCCATCGTCTTTCCCCCTCCCACTCTCATTCATTCCGCCGCTCCCACAACCGTCATCACCAGCAGTTTCAGCAGCAGCAGTGGCTGACGCTGCTGCTATAGCACGGCAGTTTGGGGTGGCAGCAGCAGCAGCGCATATACAGGCACAAGCAGCAGCACAGGCACATGCACAGGTGCAAGCGCTGGTGCAAGCAGCTGCAGCTGCTGCTGCGGGTAGTGCGGGTGTTTCTGTGTCTTTTGAGGGCTCTCAGAATGTGGCTGCAGCTGCGCTTACTGTACCTGCGATAGGTGGTGCAGGTGCTTCTGTGCTCCCTGTTCCTTCTGCTCCTTCTGCTCCTGCTGCTCCTGCTGCCCCTGCTGCTGCTGCTTCTGCGGCTGCGGCTGCGGCTGTGGCTGCTACAACTGCTCCTCCTCCTGCTGCTGCCACTGCTTCTGCTTCTGCTGCTGCTGCCACTACTACTGCTGCTGCTGCTGCTGCTGCTGCTGCTGCTGCTCCAGGCCAACCCACTTCCACAACCGCAATCAGCAGTAGTACCTTCCCCCCTTCTAATCCAGTCGCTGCTCCTGCTGCCCCTCGCCTTGCCCCCACAAACCCTAAACAAGCCCCACCACCAACCCCAACCTCTGGAAGCTCGTAAATAGAACCACGTGTACATGGTTCTATGACTTTTGAGTCGACTCAAAAATCATCTCGTGTAAATGGTTCTATGGAAGCTGTGGAAAAGTGGTTTTGGCAGTGAAATCAGGTGTATCAGGATAAGCATAATTGTGGCATGTACGTACCAGACATGTACCGTAATAGGGGTTTTGTAATAGGTTCGTATCTCCATGGTAGTGATTGTTGTTAAAAGTGAATTTCATAATGCTTCCTTATACACTCATCTCCCTAACACAAAAACGAAGCATGCAAACTCGCACAGGATGCCAGGAGCAAAAGATACTCAGTAACAAAAGGAACACTCTAGTTATTACCACATCAGCTTACAATGGGAAGGAAACCACAAAAACTCCCACAAGCCTTCAGGTTAGGCACACGCAGCATCTCCAATAAATGCCTCCCCTCTCACCACATGCCCTTTCACATGTCCCCACCACACCTCACAACAAAATCTAACCCTCAAGGTGCAGTTGTCCCTCACCCTCCCACCACATCACACCGCATACCACATCACAACACCTCACACACAGCACATCACATATAATTCAAGCTAGAGAGCACCTACGGTTGGAGTGGCAAGATTGGCAAGATTGGCTTGCATTGCATACCAACTCCCTCCAGCACCAAAGAAAGGTGCTGGGACGCTGCTCAGTGCTCACGGCCTCTACAGACCAGCTAAGGAAAGCATTGCAAGAGCTACAGACAGCCAGCCCAACCAAACCCATACAGAGACACGCTACAGCCTACAGCCTACAGGCCGGTCTTACGAGAGGCTCTACACTACAGCCAAGGGAAGGCCATAAGAGAGGCGCTACAGAAGTCACACTGGCACCACAGCATGCCTCAGTGCACCTCCTCCCACCTCCTCCCACCTCCTCCCACCACCACCACCACCACCATCATCATCTTGCATCTTGATCTTGTCATTCGCTACAACGCCCAGTGCCCACAGCGCCCGCACAGCAGCAAGAGTAGCAAGAACGCCGCACGCCATGCTTGCCAACTGCATTCACACAGCTTCTTTTGAGTCGACTCAAAAATCTACTCATCACAAGCAGCAAGAGTAGCCAGAACGCCACAAGCCATGCTTGCCAACTGCATTCACACAGCTTCTACAAGAAGCAGCAAGCAAGATTTCAGAACACAGAGATTGCAGAGAGTACACAGAGAGAGAGAGAGAGAGAGAGAGAGAGAGAGAGAGAGAGAGAGAGAGAGAGAGAGAGAGAGAGAGAGAGAGAGAGAGAGTGTAGAGAAGAAAGCAAACAGAGGGGAGGTAGAGTAAGCTAGGAATGGATGGGGATGTGTGAGGAGAAGCAGGCAGATAGAGCATGGAACGGAGACGAGGGGAAAGGGAATGAATGTGAGGAAAGCAAAGGGAGCACGAAAGACGAGACCATGAACCTTCTCTCACCCGTCACTCATATCACCCCTCCCCTCAGCACACGCCCCACCTTTCTTCATAGCGATCGCCGGCCGAGCCACCGTAGCCCCTTCATTGCAATCAAGGAGTTGGCATCCGGGATAAACGGTGTGTGAGGAGCGCTCACACCCACCCATCCATCTACCCACCCACCTTTCTTTATAGCGATCGCCGGCCGAGCCACCGTAGGCCCTTCATTGCAATCAAAGAGTTGGCATCCGGGATAAACCCACCGCCGCCGCCACTCCCACCACCACCGCCACCACTACCACCACTCCCCGAACCACCACTCCCGCCACCACCGCTACCCATACCCCCTCCCACACCCCGCCCATGCCTCCACGCCGGTCCCATCATCATCACGCCTCTCTTCCCCCGCCGTGCCTTCTCCACCTGAGACAAATCCCCCATAATCTCCTCCAAAAGCTGCTCCATCACCATTTCTTCAAGTGAAAACACAGCCATTAAAGCCTCAGTACTCGTATCCGCCCATTTATCCAGCCCTCGGGCCATATCCCTCCTCGCAGCATCGTCCAGAATATCATAAACCTCATCCGAAGCAGGAACCGGCCAGTCGTGAACCTCTTCCCAAACCTCCAGCAGCAGAGCCTGCCCCTCAGGCCTGGGCCGAACCAGCGGCACCTGCTGCACCGCCGCCAGCCACAGGGACGCCTCCAGGAACGGCCCAAGCCTCCTTCCCAAGGCCTCGTTGACTGCATCGAACAGAAGCCGGCGCTGCCGTCGCTCCTCCTGCCGCCTTGCCTGGTCTGCGGCAATCCACGCTGGGTCGTCTGGGCGAACACCCGGAGGAGGGGCAGGTGAGGGGCAGGAGAGAGTGATTCCAAGCTCTAGTTGCTCGAAGACCGGTGGAGGGATGGGGAGGCGGAGGGAGTGGATGGGCGGGTAGGGGAGGTTCTGCTGGTACTGCACCTCCTGCTGCTGCTGTTGACCATACTGGTTCAAATTCTGGATCTGCTGCTGCTGCTGCTGCTGGTTCTGCTGTTGGTTCAGGCCAACAAAGCCAGAGACGACAAGGATATGGCGGAGATACTCTAAGTCCTGTTCCATGCCCTCTATGTCACCCAGACACTCCATCAGCCCGGGGTCTGTGAGCAGATCCATCGGGTCAACGGGGTCAACGGAGTCAACGGGGGCAGTGGGCACTGGTAGGAGTTCCCTGGTGGTGGTGGTGGTGCTGCTGCTGGTGGTTGTGGTAGTGGAGCTGTTGCTGCTGCTGTGAGGAATCATGGTGGTAGGAGGAGAGGGAGAAGGAGTGGGAGCAAGGAGATGAGCCATGCCATTACTGCTGCTCGCTTGTACCACTGCAATACCACCACCACCACCACCACCACCACCACCATCACCGCCACCTCTGCTGCTACTGATTCCTTGCTGCTGCCTCTGCTGAGCAGCAGCAGCAGCAGCTGCCGCGCCAGCAGGAGGCATCTGTTCTGGCTTGCGCGCAGGGGGAGTGGGCACGGTAGGCTTTACCCCCCCCGGGACTCCCCGCCTAGGAGTCTCAGCCACGGCTGTAGCAGTTGTAGCGGCAGTGGTAGTGGCAGTGGCAGCAGCAGCAGCAGCAGCAGCAGCAGCAGCAGCAGCAGAAGCAGGGCCAGGAGTGGACCTACCATTGTAACCATTCCGGCCACTCCCCATCCCACCACCAGCAGCAGCAGCAGCAGCGGCGGCAGCGGCGGCGGTGGCAGGTCTACCAGCATTCTCACTCCCACCTGCGAGCTTTCCCAGCATGAGCCAAGACTTGCCACCCGGAACCACTGCATCCAGCAGCGCTGCAGCAGCGCCTTGCACTGCTGCTGCTCCCTGCACCGCCACCCCCTTTACCTTCACATCCCCTCCTCCTGCTGCTGCTTGCTCTGAGAGCTTGCTCACAGACCTGTCCTTCACAGACCCCTGCCCGGGATTCACCAGTGCACTCGCCTCCTCCTCTTCCTCTCCTTCCTCCTCGTCCTCCTCCCCTTCCTCTTCTTCTTCTTCTTCTTCCTCCTCCTCCTCCTCTTCCTCCGCTTCTTCCTCTTCCTCTTCTTCTGCCGATACCTCCTCCCTTGCTCCGCTGACAGTGCGCGAAAGCAGTGGGCTGGCAGCGCCGATTTGCAACTCCCCACTCAGCCACGCGCTCTCCTTGCGCTCACTCACACTCCTCCCGCCCTCACCTCTGCTCAGCACACTCGCAGCACCTTCCCCGCCCGCTTGCTCCCCTTCGCTCTCCCCCTCCTCCTCATCCTGCTCCTCATCTTCTTCCTCCTCTTCCTCCTCCTCTTTCCCTGCTTCCTCCAAAGCCATATCTTCCTGCTGCTGCTTCCAGTCTAGCGATTTAAGCGGCCATCCGAATTGCAGCGGCCCTTCATCCTCCTCCTCCTCCTCCACCTCCAGAATTTGCCGGCTCGCCGCATTGCCACTCCCACCACCACAACCATACCCCGCACCGCTCCCACCAGCGCCAGCACCAGCGGAGGACGAAGCAGCGGACAGCACGCGGGTTAGAGATGCTAATTCTAGCTCCAGACTTCCGCTCGTCATTCCAGCCGCTCCTCCGCCGCCTCGTCCGCCTCCCCCCATTGTTCCGCCGGTCCCAGCCGCGGCAGCAACAGCCGCGGCGGAAGCAGCAGCGAGCGAGTAGGAGGGGGAAAGGGCGGCGGAGGAATAAGTTCCGGAAGCGGAACAGGAGGAGGTGGCGGAGTAGGGGGAAGCGGAGCCGTCACCCGCGGATGCCTGCAGGGCCGGGGGAAGGAGGTGCGGAAGCGGAGCTTGCGCTTGCGCGAGCACCTGCGCCTGCCTGGTTGCGGAGTCGTGCAGCGGAGAAACGGAGGCGGAAGCGGAAGCGGAGGCGGCGGAAGCGGAAGCGGCGGGGGAACAGGAAGCGGAGCACGAGGCGGAGAGGGAAGTGGCGGGAGTGGCGGCGCTGGGGGAGCTCGAAGCGCCAGTACCGTTGCTGCTGCTCGTCGCAACGCCCGTGATGATACTCGGGCCAGAGCTCGACGACGCGCTATAAGACACTGCGGCAGGGGAGCCTGTGTCCGCGCCCGCGTCCGCACCCGCACCCGCGCCCGCGCCCGCCTCCGCACTCGCGCCCGCGCCTGCGCCTGCGCCAGTGGCTGCGGCACCGCATTCCGCCTTGTGCACAGCTACGAGAGCGCCAGGAGAGCCGGCACCTGCGGCGGGGACCACCGGGACGGAGAAACGACTCTTCTCCGCTGTCGTCGCCGCCGTTGTTGTTGCCGATGCTGACGCTGTTGCTGCGCGAGTCACGGGGAGAGAAATCGAGGCAGTGAGCGGAGAAGAGGAGGGGGACGACGAGGAAGCTGCGTCGAAGCTGGATCCGAGTGCCGCTGCCGACGCGGACGCTTCGATCCATGCCGCCACCACACTCGCGCGGGTCGCCGCAGCCGCCGCCGCCGTTTGTTCCGCCTGCTGCCTCTGCGCCAGCTGCGCCTGCGCCTGAGCCTTGCGCGGAAGAGGGATGCGCGAGGGGGAGGACGATAGCGCGGGAGAAAACATCTCCGCGGGTTTGTCGTCCACGCCCGCGCCGATCCGGTTTCCGCCACTCCCACCGCCGCCTTTCGCGGACAGCCGCGCTTTGACGGCCGAAGCCGCCGCGCTCTTCCCCGACGCGCTCCGTGCAGGCGAGCCAATCGCGGCAATCATGTCGGGCGACGACACGTCAGCGCTATCCGCGGGCCTGCCGCGATTGCCGGCGGGTTTCGCGCCACCGGAAGGCAGTTCGAGAGAGCTCGACGTGGTGAGCAAAGCGTAGCTTCCGATTCCGCTCCCCGGACGCCTCCCTCCCCCGCTTCCGCTTCCGCTTCCGCTTCCGCCGATGGCGCCAGCTCCTCCGCGGACATCCGCTTCCGCGCGCAGACTGGCGGAAGATCCCAGGGGCGGGGAGAACTCGTAGAGCTTCCCCGACCCGCCGGGGGTGCGGCTTTCTTCCGCGTGCGCGAAGCGCGACTGGGGAGAAAGCGCGGAAGGCATAGAGGACGGAGGGTGGGTGGGGGAGCGGTGCGGGTGGAAGCGCTCCTTTCTGCTCGGGACGGGCGCGCGGAGGCCGCGCGGGTTTGCGCCTGCGCTTGATCTGCTGTCTTCCCGGTCAGCTGGTCCGGTCGATCTTCCGCGACGACTGGCGGAAGCGGAAACGGAAGCGGAAGCGCCGTCCTTTCCCCCTTTCCCCGCGCTTCCCGCATTGATGGCGGTAGAAACCGAACCAGTCGAGAGCGATCGGGCGGGGATGGCGGAAACGCCGCCTGCTGCTGCGCCTGCTCCGCCTGCCGCGGAGTTCCCCGCATTGTCCCCCCGGCTGCCGCGATTTTTTCCGCCTGACAGCGATTGCGAGCGCGCGGACGTTAACTCAGCCGGCATAACCGTCAGCAGTTCGTCAGTCGACTTGCCGTCCAGTCCTAGCAAGCTGCTCGGGACTACGCGGCTGGAGTTTCCGCCCGTCGCGGCGGCGCCGACGGCGGCGGCGGCGGCAGCGGCGGCAGCGGAAGCAGCGGTGGCTGCGGCACCGCCATCGTACACCTTCTTTCCGGCGCCCATTGCGGCGGCGGCGGCGGCGGCGGCGCTGACTCTATCGGCGGCGCGCGCCTTTGCCATAGAAGCCTGGGTAGGCGCGAATAGGCGACTTCCTTGCGGAACGGGGGAGACGCTGCGCTCCCGCCGCGACCTCCCCTTAAGCCCGCTGCCCCCCCCTGCTGCTGCAGCAGCAGCGGCAGCGGCGGCGGCGGCAGCTGAGCCTCTAGCAAGTCCCGAAGACGTGGCATGATCGCGGCCGTTGATCGCGGCGGTTGCCGCGGAGGGTTTGGAAGAGACGGTGTCCGAGTCGCTAATGTCCTCCCATTTCGACGTGGACGAAATAATGCGACTCGATGATGTGCTTCCGAGGCCTAAGAGCCGGCGAATGTAGACGGACGTTCGCTTCGGAGTTAACGGCACGTCAGGTGCCTGGCACGTCAGGAGCGCAGGGGGGAGGTGAAGGGTGAGGAAGGAAGCGACGGCGTTAAGGATGGATTAAGTTGCTATTCAATAGGGCGCATAGACGTTTACGACATAACGAGCCCCTATTGCATAATAATGCAAGGAACATCATTGGATAAACCTAGTGCGCCTATTGGCACAAGAGACGGCCCTCAAGGTGCTACGGTGGCAGTGCTACGGTGCTATCATCTGCGACGGGTTACCCCACCCCCTGCGAAACAGTTGCTCACCTCGTTACTTTCCGGTGGCAGTGCTGCCGGCGTAGGGTCGATGCTTTCGACCTTGGCTATGGCACGCAGCACGGCGCTGCTGAGTGACGGCGTGCCTGCCGTGGGCGGGAGGATAAAGAATGGCGGGTGATCAAGCCATTGAAATCATGAGCACGAGTCACGAGAATAGCATATGCGGCATCGACAAACAGAACTTAGCTCCACGGGATGATGGCGGAGTGATGGTGGGAACAGCACGGGGGGGAAAGGGGAGGGGTTGCCTTGATCGTCAGCAATTATACACAAGAAACGAGCTTGTTTCAGTGCCATCTCTGGGACGACGCGCGAGGTCTATGGCGTATCGAGCAATCAGTCGCTCAACACCATAATATCGCCACCGCGGTAGACAAGCTCACCACCTCACGTAACTGCATGTAACGACCGCCCTTTACCTGTATGCGATCCTCCTGCTGTGCCCCCGCCCTGTGTGACTGATATGGTCTTTTCTGCAACCATGTTCCTAGGTTGGCTTACTTGGGGAAGAGAAATAAGGCGCCTCCACATAAGAGCTCATTTTGTGCTCCCCGCGCGACCGATAAGCACCCTCCGCTGTCCTCCGAAGCTTCCCTCTCCACCTCCAACGCGCTACAAACGATGTTGTCTGCGAGTCCGCGCGCCCCTTCCAAATCAGGTAACTTGTTCGTCCCGCATCCGCATCAAGCCCTGATTGACACTCTACACAGCTTCCCGGTCAGCGTCAGGACGGCCGTTTCTTGACACGGACGCCAACACTTGCACTATTCTCTGACTACAACTAACGTCAAGTTAGACGCGCAAAGCCCCTTCAACTGACTACAGAAGTCGCAAGTTACCAAACATTCCTGGTTCTTCTGGACTCTCTTGACTCTTACGTATTGCTTCACTAATCACCGCTACCGCTACTAGTTGGTACTGGACGGATCGTAACGGGCTGGGAGAGAGCTTCTCTGAAGCTACCGCTACCGCTACTAGCTGGTTAATGGCGGCGGCTTTGTCATGGCGTTTGACAACTGAAGGTCGGTTGTACAAAGAGAGAGCTGTTATTCTGTAAGGCACAATGACGATTAGGACGGTCGAGGGAAGTGCGGCGCTGTTAGTAATACTACGGGTAAGTGGCTAGCCCGGTCCGTCGTTAGAAACCAGAGTCCGAGATAATGGTTGAGAGTACCGTTCCGTAAGATGACTAGAGAGACAATCTCGTTATGGACGGAAATTGGTTCCACTGCGGGGCGGATTGCAGGAGGAGGCTCTACAGACAAGGTTAGGAAAAACAAGCGAGGGGAAAGAGCATGTGATGATCAGGGGCTAGGTGAGCCGACAAAGACAGACGACGCGAATCAGGGGCAGGGGCAGAGCGAGCTACTTTTTCTGACCCAAGCCTTGCCTGGGCAGTGTGCTGTGTGAAGGGGCTCGTGTCGACAGAGAGCTTGATGGAAATGGTGGGTGTGGTTCAGGCTAGTCAACAGTGAGCTTGAGTGGTAGGGTGCTGATGGGGGCGCAAGAGCGAGGTTGCAGTACAGTAGTTCGCTCACATGCATCCATTTCGCGTGGGGGCCAAATTGAACATGGGCAATGAGAGAAAATTAGAGGGTTTGAAATGCGGCTCGAAAACTTAAAATGAGATTGGCGAAGAGCGTGAGATTCAACTCACCTTGGGGGGCAACAAGGTTGTTGACGACCAATCAGATCGAAGGTTTGGTGTGAGGACGGTTTCGGGGAGGTGAGCCACGCGACTTGCTAAACTTGTGATTGCCTGAGTATACGCGACTTGCTCTCAATAACGAGGGTGCACCTCAGCCAATCTGGGTAAATAGCGCTTCGACACGTTTGGTTTGGTGCGCTTACGGAGCTCCTCAAACCTAGTTACACAATCTCACGAGCCTCGCAGCTGGGAACCCGCATGTCCAGTTTGGACGCGCTGAAGAATGTCTACGCTTGTCGGTTAGAGCTACGGGGCTGACCACCGAACCAAATGCCAAACCAAGCAGCAAGTTTTTCTATTGCCCATCTCGTAAGCTCGCCTGCCCGCACCTGCCATCACATGCACTACTGCTGGGTGCTGCACCTGCGCCTATTCCTCGGTTTGGGAACACATGCGGTCTGGCCCTGCTCGAACCGCCTTGAAACCAAAGCACGTCCTGCATTGACCCTCACTTCGCCTGCCCATACCTTCATTTGCTTTGCGCCATAAGAACTCGCGAGCAGTCACATTTTCCTATTATTGAGCCGCGGGTGCTGGATGGCTATACTTGCTATCGAAAGTCGCGTTTATATTGATTTCCAGTTTCAAGAATTGACTCACTATCATCTGTACATACAACCAACGCTATGGTCGTCGTTAAACCATGACAAAAAAAAGTGTAGTTTCATCACAGCTATTGAACTGCTGGTTATGGTAATGCGGCACAGGAAATTTTATAAATATAGTATGATACCGTATCCGATTGCCAGCAGGCAGATCCTCCAAGTTACTGGTTGTGTACCAAACCAATGTATAATTTGCAAACTACCTACCAATACATCTCACTCGGTAGCGTCAGTAGCACTCGGTAGTGTTACGAATAGCAATGGATGAAAACATTACTGAGCACTCCTAACCGCAGCAAGGGAAGCACACAGTATCGAGAATGAATGCGAAGGGTCAGATTGGACTCGAAGCGTCAAACGGTTAGGGTGGACCGGGACCGTCAGAGCAGACCGCATCGGGCAGTTGCAGACAAGAGGAATTTGGCGGGAACAGTTTCGTAACTGTACGCGCCGCACGGTTGGGAATGAATTTGAATAAGGGAATGTACCCCTTAGAATACATGGCTAGCTAGGTCGATTTGAGTTCCTCTGTACTCATATTTATATCCTTGTGTTTGCATGTTTTAATCATCTCAAGCATTTTACATTCACTCTGCTATTGAGGTCAAGGGCCCACCATTACCTAGCTGTGTGCGAACCTTCACGATGAGATCCTAGGAGGGATCACCTTTTGATCGCAACATGGTATCACAGCTGTTGGGCTGAGGATTTCAGCCTTAGGATCTTTAAAGAGAATAGGCTAGTAGGTGCTAGAGTAGCACAGCGGAAGTTTTTTGAGTGAATGTACTTGTGCTGGTATGTGAGAACAAGTAATTGATTAAAGCAAAGAGCATACATGAATATATAGGAAAGATAGATTACAAGAAGCGGTTATGTTTATCGAGACGCGTATCGCTTCGACTATCGAGGCGGTTACTGTTCACTGAAGCGTCGCTTGCTGTTACGTAACCTCTAGGCGGTTACAGCTCGCAACCTCCAGTTGCGGTTTGATGTGGTACGCGCCTTTTTCGACTTCATACCCCTTTTGCTGTGCTTCAGTATCGGGCGAGGTTCGATACTACAGAAACGCACTAAGTCCTGCGTTCATATTCCCAACACTCCCCTTCGTTTCTGGAGTGTCGACGTGGTCAGTCTCGGTGACGTGGCCCAATCCGGTGAGCAGCATGCAGTACTCGAATTTCCCCTTTGGTAGCTTCTTGGTGAGATAATCTGCTGCCATCTCGGTGGTCGGGCAGTAGTCCAGCTGGAGTTTTCCCTTCTCAATTTCGTCTTTCACGAAGAAGTATCGCAGTGTGATATGCTTGGTTCTGTTGGCGAAGCCATTCTTGTTCGCGATTCGTATCGCGGACTGGTTGTCGCAGAAAAGCGAGAAGCTGGGTACTTTCGCAATTTTCGCTTCTTCCAGCAGTTCGCGAAGGTACAGACCTTCCTTGGTAGCGGTGCAGAGAGCAATATACTCTGCTTCAGCAGATGATAGTGCGACGAGTTCCTGCTTACTTGATTGCCAGGAGATAGTTCCGACGGGCTCGAGGCGGTAGATGTAGCCGGTGCGAGAGCGGCGATCGACACGATCAGCAGCGTGATCAGCGTCGACGTAGCCGAGTAGTTTTAGGCCGGTCGTCGTGCTCTTGTGATACGTTAAGCCAACTGTTGGCGTCGAGATGAAGTAGAGAAGGGCACGGTTGAGTTCCTTGAGGTGACGTTGTTCTGGGCGCTTGAGGTAGGTCGCTAGCTGGCTGGCGCTGTAGGATAAGTCCGGTCGGCACGTAACGGCGGCAAAGAGTAGGCAGCCCAGTTTCTGTTGATATTCCTGGATTCCGGCAGACGGCAGTAGGTTGGTTTCTTCAGTTGGGTCGGGCGATAGGTGACTGTAGGGTGTTGGGACGTGCGTCGGTGTGATGCAGAAGCGTTCGGCGATAGTGCTTGCGTATTTTGAGGCGCTGAGACGAATGGCGTTGTCTTCGTCGAGGATGTTGAGCCCTAGGTACTGCGTGACGTTGGGTGAGACTGTGAGGGAGAGATCTGTCTGAAGCTCCCTTTTGAACCAGGTGACGATGGTGGTAGTTGACCCGATGTAGAGTAAATCGTCGACGTAGACGATTAGTAGGACGTAGTCGTTGTCGCGAGTGAGGCGATACATGCCCTGGTCATGGGGCAGTTGGTTGAATCCGATGCGTTTAAGTCGTGCGTGCAGGTACTACTGCCAGAGTCGCGGTGCCTGCTTAATTCCGTATAGTGATTTAAGTAGTTGGCAGACGAGGGAAGGGTCGTCGACGAACCCGTGGGGCTGTTCGACGAAGATTTCAGCGTCGACTGGGGCGTACAGAAAAGCGTTGGCGACGTCGATTTGTCGGAGTGGGCGGCGACGTGAGGCGGCGATGACGAGGAGTATACGCAGGGAAGTATGTCGACTGACTGGTGCAAAATTTTCAGTGAAGTCGCGACCATACTCTTGGTCGAATCCGCGGACGACCCATCGAGCTTTAAATCGTTCGATGGTTCCGTCGGAGTTGGTTTTGATCCGGAATACCCATTTTCCGAAGAGAATGGGTCTGTCTTGTGCGAGTGATGCAGGGACGATCTTCCAGGTGTTGCGGTATGAGAGCGCTTTTAACTCCTTTTCCATGGCTTCGCGCCATTTTTCTTTGTGTTCCCCCCCCAGAGCCTGCTTGACAGAGCGAGGCTCTTGAGGTGGCGACGAAGGCCCGTGCACTGCAGCGATGAGTCCCAGGACTTGGAGTCCGCTGGGAGTGTGACGGTTCAGCAAGGGATCCTCGGGATTGTCAGAATATATTTGCTGTCTAGCCTGCAGTGGGGTACTCTGTAATGAGTACAACCCAATTTATGGCATTGTACTTGTATCCCAACTCTTCCTAGTGAAACCCCTTCTCTTTCAAAAATCTCTCGACACTTCTCTCCTCACCCTAAAAACTCGATTACCTAGGCACCTAAACCATGGCTTCTAAGCCTACCTTTGTTTAAGATTTTGAGAGGGATAGACTGCTTCGTCTCCCGCTTCAGGATCAGGTGCGAATCCGGGGCCGTATCGTTCAGAGATGTCGGTGTTGACGGGTTGGGGTGTTACGTAACCAGTGTCGGCGAAATGGTAGTAGACGTCGGCATTGTTGCTGTCGCGAGGATTTTCCTCGTCCATGGGGATTGGGACGGAGCAGTAGGGAAGGGGTCCAGCAGCTTCGGAGGCGCCGTCGACGTTTTCTTCTTCCCAGT